CCATTCACCTCCAGGTAAGACAGTGTGTATATGTGTGTAACAGAGTTAATATGATACATGTGTAAGGTTAGCACACAATTAGTCTCAAGTAAGAGAGAGCTTTAAATGTTTGTCTACATATATACACTTTAAATATTTTGACATACGTCCCTGTATATAATGCTATAAGTATACTGTCTTGAGTTTGTTTCTTGCTGTAAAATGTACTAACGGTAACACTACAATGAAGTAATAACTAAACCTTTTGAATAAAATGTAAATACATTCTGAAAATGCCTTTCCCATATATGATAAGGGGATTCAAACTTTTTTACTTCTATAAGAAATCCTATTTTATAAAATGTATTTTATTTTAGTATATTTACCAAAATATTATTTTAAAAATGTTAAAATAAATAAAATGAAATTGTAAAATTCCATACATATTTTTTACACACACACACACACGTGTTGTAAATTGATACTATTTTAAAAATACTGTAATACAATTAATCATTGTTCTCTCCTTATGTAATACGGATCTAATACAGTTCTGTATGGTCTTCTGACATTTATTATACTGAATAGTGTAAATCTAACAGAAATTATATCTGTCCTTAGTTTCACCCATGTTCAGTGTGAAGGTGTAAATATGTTATTTTAGAAGTGTTAAAGAGAACTGGCAGGGATGTGCATATATAGGTCATGGCTATGTATAGAGTGCATAGAATATTTTAAGAGCTGATGGGGAAAGGCTGTTCCATTTTGTTCTCAGTCCCAGTTTTTAACACTGCCATTTCTGTACTTGACTATAATGTCTCCCAGTACAGTTAAGCGTCAGTATTATACCATCCTTGTCATGAATAATTTTACTATACCAACTTTTATAATTGTGATTGCTTTGAAATACATCTCTGAACATGCACAGACTACCCTAGTCCTCACGGTTCCCAGCATTCACTGAGGTTGCGGACAGTTCCAGCCCAAGACACAAGTGCGGTTCAGTTTGATTGGGCCTCCCCAACTGAAGATGCTGAAGACTGAAACGAACCTCGAAATCTCCGTGAGCTGCCGCTGCACATGGGTCTGAAGAAAGCAGTACGGTATACATGCCTTTTCTTTTTACATACATTTACCAGTGTCAACTTTTAAATTTTTACATTACCAACATTTAGGGATAAATTTGAATTGAAGAAAAGAAAAACTATTCTTTCTGTTCTAACTTCAGCTCCCAAAAGTTTCGCTTGTTTTCGCTGTCTTCTTCCAGGCAGGTGCAGCAGATGAGAGTTCCAGTTGTTTCTAGCTCTTGGAACATCAAACAATCACAGACATTTCGCCGTTTCTGTGAGGTTGCCAAATACATTCTCAGCTATTTTGTTCTGTGGAAGAGGGGAATCCAAAGAATAGGTGGTGATGAAAATA